AAAAAAAAAAAAAAAAAAAAAAAAAAAAAAAAAAAAAAAAAAAAAAAAAAAAAAAAAAAAAGAGTTTAATTTAATTTTAGCTTTAATTTATTTTAAATGTAAATGATTAGAGATAGTGGAAGCTGTGGGACCCACTTAATTACCCTTAATTATCACCTCCTAATACTCCATCACCCTTTATTGGTCTTTTCCTTATTGGGATACATATTTAAAATAAAATAAATAAATAAATAAAAAAGGGTTTCTTCAATTATTGGAGAAATTGCTGTCAGAATATCTCAAGTACAGTAAGTATTCCCTCACCGTTACCTCGTCATTGTCAAAATTAAATAATTATACCATTAATTACTCATTTTTCTCTTAATCTAAACCCTAAACCCTACTTAGATTCTCTTAATTATATAGATTAACTTGCATAACGGTAAAAAAAAATATATTCAAAGCAGTAAAAGAGTAGTGTATAAGTATAAATACAAAAGTCTACATATTCAACGGTGCTGATTACTTAATAATTTACGTGGGACCCACCAGTCCTACTGCTTTCATTTCATCTTCCTCATCCGACCACGTGTCATGCCTCATCTCGCGAGTATACTAAAATAGCCTACTCGCCGCCATCGTACCGGGATTATTCTTCCCAATTTCCTTTTCTCCAGCATCATCGGGGTTTTTAATTATTGATTTCACCACCAACAACAACACCATAGATCCATTATTTGTTTAATTTTTTTTTTTTTAAATTACAATGATATAAATTGGAATTGAAATTACAAGGGATGTGGGTGATTCAAAGTCATACCCAGAGAGCGCCGACCTCGACAAGCTTAGGTACGAGGTGGCCGCTGAGGTGGAGTGCGACGAGGGATTCAAGGCCGCCGACGTAGGAGCCACCCATGAAGACGGCAGGAGCGGCTGCGGGGGTGGTGGAGGAGAAGGAGGCGAGAGCGTCGATCTCGTGGTCGTCTAATTCGATGACGGTAGGGTGAACGCCGATAGAGGCGAGAAGCTTCTTCATGACGTGGCACATGCAACAAGAAGTGCGGCTAAAGATGATGACTGGATGTTCGGAGATGAGGCGACGGATTCGTGTCTCGGCGGACTCGGCAACGTCGATGGAAAGGGAGGCGGTGGAGGGGACGGAGGATGGCGGAGATAGGTCGAGGAGGAGGAGGTCGTTGGAGCAGCGTCGTAGGCCTTGCATCGCCGGAGGGATTTAGAGAGAGAAAGTAACGGAATAAAAAAAATTGAGAAAGAGAGAGAAAAGAAGCGAATAATGTCAACGAGGAAGTGGGGTGGAAGCGGGGACTAAGGGAGAGGAGGAGTGGTTTTATAAAAAAAAAAAAAAAACAGAGTGGACAGTGTGTGCCCTTTGCTTACATCACTCTTTCATCTTCCACTTCATTCTTACAATTATTTTATTTCTTTTTATTTTTTTATTTTTTATTTTCCCACTCCTCTTCACAAACTATGACTTCCTTTATACCTCTACAATACTCACCTCTAGCGCGTGTCTAACACGCTCCCATCCAAATAATCACAAAATTACCACCTTAACCGAAACCCACTTCTAACGTATGTTGTCTACTTCGATCTATTACTTATCGTTGTCAACTTCATTATTTAAAATGCATTAGAGAGAGGTATTGTAACAATCCAAATCCACCGCGAGCAGATATTGTTCTTTTTGAGCTTTTCCTTTTCAGGCTTCACCCCAAGGCTTTAAAACGTGTCTGCTAGGGAAAGGTTTCCACACCCTTATAAATGGTAGTTTGTTCTTCTCTCCAACCAATATGGGACATCACAGGTATTCACACTCTTATAAAATATGCTTTATTTCCCTCTCCAACCAATGTGGGATATCAAAATCCACCCCTTTGGGGTCATTATTCTCGATATGATATTGCTCGGTGTTTAGCTCTAATACCATGTGTAACAGCCAAAACCCATCGCTAATAGATACTGTATGTTTTGACCCATTACATATTGTCATCAGCCTCACGATCTTAAAATGTATCTATTAGAGAGAGGTTTTCACATTATTATAAGAAATGCTTTAATTTATCTTTACAACCGAGGTGGGATCTATCACGTATGATTGTCAGGTAAAACAAGATTTGGGTTAATTGAATTAAAACGTCAAAACTAATTCTATTACTGATAAAAAAAGAAAGCCCGATTTTTCGACTTAGCGGGTCGTGACTGGTGGGTTGAACTTGGATAGATTGGTTGGGTTTGTGAGTAATTATAATTATGGGTGATGAATCGAGTGGATAACACGATGGAAGGAGGCGCGTGGGATAATTGGGGTGTATTGATATACAATGTGGTTCAAATGTACTGGATATTTGCCCATGCATTAGCGTGGGAGAGAGGATCACATGGGCAGTAAATAACCATGACGTCACTTTGACTTAGACGTCGAATGGTAAGATTGCACCTTGACGTCACCAAAAGATAAAACCCTCTACCATTGCCACTTCAGTCATTTATATTATAATCTTTATATAAAGAAAAAAATGTCATCTGACGTGGACAACATGCTGACCAGTCACACCGGGTCCCACTCCCATGACATAATCATGGGAGCGAACCTTCACTTCTCCCGTCACCATGACGATCCTTTCCTTCCACGTGGCCACCCCATTTACTTCCCTCTGCTCATGGAGAAATCGTGGACCTAAAATAAATAATAAATAATAAATAAAATACCCCACCTTTCACTACGCCACGTGCATTCCCAGCCATGGTAATTAAAAATGGGCAGTAAAATTTTATGAGGCTGACGTGGACCTTTACCCATAAAGTCCACGTTTAAATTCCACCGTTGATGGTGGCCACTGCGGTGTCTGCCATATGTGGAGGAGATGATCAAAACACTGGTGGGCCCCACACCCCTAAATTAAAAAAAAGATCCTCAGTTTTCCGAGTAATTAAAAAAATATAATAATCATAATTAATAAATAAACCCACCTTAAACGTTAAATTTGGAAGCCCCACAATTACACTCAAAAGCTACCATTATTAATTTCGTTCTGTATTTTACATTAATTCCAGTTCCACCCCTTTTCTTATGTCCAATCATGTTCCTACCCCAGTACATTTCCTTATTCATTATAATACCCCACAACTTCTTTAAATAATAAATTTCTACATCACCATCTCGCCCATAGTTATTTGTGACTAAATTTAAAAATACCCAAACCATGCTCCTTCGTCACACTACATCATCCTATATATTACAAAGTATTATTCCCATTTTGCATTCATTAATGTGTCACACACAATCTAGTTTACCCCACATTTTCCGTCCTCGTTTTCATTACTTCTATCTCCATGCGTCAGTTCCCACATCAGTTGGAGAAGAGAACCGAAAATTCTTTATAAAAGCATGAAAATCTCTCCCTATCAGATGCGTTTTACATCATTGAGAGATAACCCAGAAGAAAAAATTAAAAAAATACCATATTTGCTAACGGTAAACTGTTACAAATAATATCAGAGCCAGTTAACGAGTGGTGTGTCAGTTGGAGAGGGGAGGCAGACACGTTTAAATCTGTGCGACTATTAACCCCAAATAAGATGGAGAAGAGAGGATAAGAGGATAGAGATTTTTCTATAG